TCGATTATTGGCATTGGCAGCTAATTTCAACTATTTTGTTTACATACACATATTAATATATATTTATTTTTCACATTTGAATGATCATAAATACATGCTATATCAGTTTTACTTATTGTATAGGTTTTTTGAGTATGAGCTTCATCGAGTATATTTTTAATTAATTAATTTTAGTTGAATTATTTTTTTACGAATTATGAAATATACATACATATATTATATATAATATTAATGTTTCTTAATAATGTATTTTAATGTAAATTGCAGACTGTATAAAACTGCAATTTTGTTATATATAGTTTTACGCATGTCGTGGTATTTGTGTGACTTTGTTTGTGATTTTTGTGCGTGTATCTTGTATATACTTAAGCCGCCATTAGAATTATAAGGGCTCCTTACTTATGATTCTAATATGTTTTGAACATATACTTAATTTCTTATATGCTTTCTTATATGCAATACTAATTCTACTTGAAATATATAGTTTTCGTATAAATTTATATATTAGGAGTTTAACTAATAATTATCTACTGTCTTCGTTATCGCTGTAGCTATTCTGGTTCTGCGCTTCACGTTCCTCCAATAGACTGCGGTTTAGCTCTTGTATCCTAGCGGATAATGCACGTCTGCGTGGTGTACCAAAGGATGGTATGGGCGGTTGCTCAATCAACGTGTTCTTTTCACCTTTCGTATTTGCAAGATATTTGCACAATTTTTTCGGTAATACATATTTTTTTTTGAAATATTGAGATAGATATATTTTTAACACAAATTTAAATGAATTGATGTTGATATCAGTGCGTTTATGGTTTTAAGTGATTTTGTTGTCGAAGTGTTAATATGTTTGTAGCAGTTGTTTTGATTGATATAGTTTTAGTTGCGATGAGATAGAGTCGAGAAAAGAAAGAAAAAACATACAATTTCTTTGTTTATATATAATCAAAGAAAAAAGTATATTATATGCTTAAAGTAGATTTAATTTAATAGTTCTATTAAAAAATATAGAAAGAAATTTCAACTTTGCTAATAAAGTGAAAAAAAGTTAAAGTGAAAAACACAAAGATAAGCGAAAAAAATTTAAAATATAGATAACTTTCCTTTATATGAAAGTAATGTTGACAATATTATTCTTATAAATTTTTTAAATTCTAAATTCATCTAATACAAATTATTTTATTGGGCAACATAAGAAACTTATATTATTGTAGTAGGTACTTAATAAAATGATATTAAAGTATTAAATTTTGAATTAACTAATTTAAATTTGACGTGATTAATAGCCAGATCTTTAAATATTTTTTATAAATAAATTTGGTAGGGCACAAGTTCAATTCCTGGTACTTGCAGTCTCACAAAAATATTATTTACGAATTTGCAATACTTGAAACAGCTATATGGTCAGCCAAAAATTCAATTAATTAAATAAAAAAGAACATAAATATAATTTTTGTTGTTATACGAGGGCGGTTTGATAAGTCAGTGACTTGTTGAATTTTTTGCGCAGTTACTCCAAATATTACTCCAAATAAAAATATGTCAAAATTAACTGCAGATATATCTGTGATATAAAATATTTTTAATTTTATATAAATAATTTATTAAAAGTTAAATGTATTTATTTTATTCTAGTTTTACATAAGAATTCAGTATTTATTGCATTTTATTTTAGCTCTCATTAAATTAGAAAATTGGATCTAATGATGAAGTAACCGGTGTAAAACTTTTAATACATCGTTCTATTAAGAATATGTAGAATATGAAAAATATGTTGTACGGATCATGCTTTATTTTTTCACAGCAACAACCTTTGTTGCGTTTTTATTGTTTGCCTATATTAAGTTTGGAGTGTATGACTTACTGAATGAATCAGTTCATCAATATCAAATTAGGATCAGTTGGATAATTGTTGAAGAATATTAAATTATACCTATGTTTGTCATCTACTTGTTACTTCCTTGTTTCTCTCTTGCATGCTATATTAGCATTAAAGGAGATTGAGAATATTAATTAATAATTAAACACAAGTTCTGGACATATTATAGTATGAAGTGAACTGCAAAAAATGAAAACAAAGTGAAGGGAAGAAAATTTTTTCATCTTCAGTCCATATTTCTATAGTCTATATGTTAGGTATCAAGTAACAATTTGTTGTTAGCAATCTGAAGACGATATTTCAGAGAAGGAGATTCAGTAAATTAAATAAGAATCGCTGAAGCAGTCTTATACAAGATATGCAGGAATAATAAAATGTCTTAGAATCATTATTAAAAGGAAGATATATATATAAATAGCTAATTAGAAGATTACAACAAATTGTGTTACGTAGGAATATTAGAAAAACTTGGAATCATTATTAAAGGGAAAATCTATATAAACCGCTGATTAGTACCGCATCTTATTAAAAAATATGTGTTTATAAACCACGTCAATATCATTTTGATCTGCACGTTGTTACTATATATATCTAATAAAGTTATTCAGAATTGAATACCAGATATTATCTTTATGTACAAATAACTTCAAATGCATAAATTAATGATGAAGAAACTGTTTCACAAAACTATGAATCACTTTGTGCTAAGTAACTTTGTTGTAAACCATTTTTTAATTCTTAAAAAGCCTCAACTACTCTGAGGTTAATATCAGGGGTTTATTTTAAGCATTTTAATGCGGATAATACGTTCCTACCATTATCATATATTTTTTTCGGTTGATTTAATATAAAAAGCTTTGCAAATTCTTTTATCAAATAAGTTTCCTTAACACCTTTAAATAATTATAAGACACTGTTTGTATTTCGGATTCATTTGATAATTCTGACCTAAATACACTTAGATATAACGTAATGTATATAAACTATGTTAGATAAGTAATGAATATAGAAAAAAAATTATTTGAAGATTTACGGATCTGGTCAATGAGATCTAATGTGTTTAGAAATCTAATGTCAAAAATATAGTTTTTGTGAATTATATTTTATATATAACAATTGAGAGTATATTGAAAGCTTATATACAATTTGCTTACAAACACAGTATACTAAAATATAGTAAAATTGTATTTTGAAAAATTATCATATACGATAAGTAAATGAAAATTAAACCACAACAGAACAGTCAGAGGAGAAGAGTTGTGTGAAAAGAAACGGATACGAGAGATATATCTTACTTTAATATTTTTATTATTTACCTTCATACGTTATGTATTTTAGTTTTATGTGGAATAATCTCAGTTCGTATTTGAACAAACAATCACGTCTTTGGAAGAAAAAAACTGTTTCAATAAATTTTAATATATACAAAAACTTTTTGTCGCAATTTTGATTTTATATACAAATTTAAACCGTTTTTAATTTAATTTTAAAGAAATAAACACTTACCCAATGCATAACTTTTAGTATTTATTTCATTAAAGAGTTAATAGATATAATTTTTAAAATCTTTTAATTCTCATATTAAAACTATGATAAGAGGTGAACGTTCATATTGGCAAGATTACTTACACTTCTTGTTATTAAATTTAATGATTCAATTTGTAAATAAATTTTACATAACATTTTTTTTAATATATAGTAATTTTTTTTTTTATTTCTACTTTACCGATTCACCTATATTTTTCATGCAATTTCAAATTTCAAATTTTCATATAAATGCAGATCAATGCTGTAACTATCAGCAATTATATCCAAAATAATTTCTTTTCAACTACTTCTAATAAATGTTTTAAATTAAAAAAATTAAATATTTAAATCAGCACTTGAAAATCTTTCAATTTTATAACTTTTTCCTTTTTTATTTCGAAGGGAATCGGGATATTTATTCATACAAAAATCGATATAGCATTTGATTTGTTTTTTTTTTTTGTTTTTTTTGAAATAATAACATTTCCAATTATCATATAATTAATTTTTAAAACCAATATTTTTTTTTTTGGATTATTAACTATTTTATATAAAATTAATATAAAATATAATTTAAATCAAATATATATAAATTAATTATTTAGAAGCTGCAACTACATAAATTGTTCAGAATAAAAAATAATTAAATAAAACATAAATATAAAAAGCTAGAAAAATTAATTATTCTTGAATTATAAAAATGCGTAAAAAGCTTAAATAACCAATTGAGCAGATAAGAAGTCGTTGAATATTTTAAAAATAATTACATTTTATTTTTAATACTATTTATAATTTTCCACATTCTAAAATATACGTACTACTTATATAATACTTACTTCCAAAAGGCGTTCTATGTACAAGACAATTTTTTTACCATTACTAAAATAATAAGGCAAAAAGTTTTATATTACATATATAACAGAAACATATTTACATTAATTTTTTATATAGCTAATTTTCATATTTACAGCATTACAGTCAAATATATTTTCTAATAACATCGACAGATATTCTGCAATTTTTAATTAACAAAGATACAAATTTTCATATTACAGTCTTAGGAACGTTAAAGGAATTGTATTTGTAAAAACTACTAAAGCCATTTTATTCTTCTATAAAATTTTTGTTTTCTTTTAAAAATATTTATCTAAACTATTTACCATATTATTTTCACTTAATATTTATCTAAAAGTAATTAACTATATTTATATTGTATTTGTATAACAAAATCAAATCGTAATTTTTTTTCTTTTTTGCAACTTCAAGGATCATTTGAAAATATTCACTTTAACTGAATCTTAATTCAATATGAAATTGTAAATTAACTCAAATTTTGATAATACTATGTTTTCGATATATTATATTACATTTTTACAGCTACATTAAGTAAGCAGTTTTTAGGCAGGTGATTGTGGCTTATAAAAGCTTTCTAAGCTCTTAAAAATTAAAAATAAAAACGTGAAATTTGTTTGATATTGAAGTGAATTGACTAAGAATATGAAATTCAATTTGAATATAATTTGAATATAATTTGAATATAATTTGAATATAATTTGAATACAATTTGAATATAATTTGAATTAAATTCAAAATTATTCACCTGCTAGTTGAGAACTCAGGGTCTCTTTTCCTATATTTTGTGGTACTTGTTTTTTACCTTTAGGATGTACAACATTTGTTTGCTTGCCTAGAAAAACATACGAGTAATTTGTAGAACTTAATAATTATATATAATTACTATACATATATGCATCTTTTTATACATATTCTTTGTAAAAGTTTTTTTATCGTGTTAATTCATTGCTTATATATGCTTTCTGTACAAAATCTGCAAATAAAATGGCTAAAGCCAGCGTAAAACTAAATAACAACTAAATTACTAAATACATACATATAATAAATTTTTTTTTTAAATACTTTTTTAAAAGCAAATCACTACTTCTATCACAGCTTAACAATGTAAAGGCATCGGTGTTTGCTCAACTTTAAAGGCTTTTGATTGACTTAAAATCGTCTTACATTAGGTAAATGCCATGTAATTTGTGGATAGCTATTGTGTTTATTTAATTAATCCGCTTATGGTGACTTAAAATTTTGTAAATTTATTCAAACTCAACAAATGTAGTGTAAAACTTAGTAAATATAACATAAAATAAATTAAAAATAATTATTTTTTAAACTATATGATGCTATGAATATTAAAAAAAAATTTGAATTTTATAATTTTTTTTATTTAAGATACTTTGTTATATATTATAAACTACTGAGATATGCTTAAATATACACTTATTTTGTTTTTTGTTTTGTTTCTTTTTAAATTTTAATTTTATATATATATATATGTCTACGCAATACTTTTTTTATAGAATTAAATATTAAAATGTATGGACTTAACAAACCAATTGATTTTATTGTATCATTCGTTTATAAGGGAACTTAGGCAAGAACTCGTAGCTAAACTACTTATTTTTTTGGATTACAAATACACATATGTGGATGTCTTTGCAATTACGTTTTAAATTTGAAAATAAGTTCAATATAGAAAACGTATGGGCTTAGCAATAGTTCTAAATTTTTTCAATCAGTGGCTCTTGTTCCTTTAAGATACTTGAGACCTAAAACGCAAACCTAGGACCCAGACCTAGAACCAAGACCTAGAACCTAGACATAAAACCCAGACCTAGAATCTAAACCTATGACCCTAACATTCTTGAACACTAAACCTGGGCTTTAAGCTTAGTTTTTCAATTTAGTAACTATAAATATTTAGATTGCGTGTAAATATATATAATTTCATTGTGAATGTATATAAGCTCAGCAGTAGTTGTGGGTTTATTCCTACCAAAATTTTCTATTTTATGATGACACATAAATCACGGCTTTATATTTTATGGAAGCACTAAACAGCCCTAAACATCCCTGTTCATACCCAAAAAACAAAATCTACATTTTTAGTGTTATTTTACTATAACTGGTTAAAATTTTTAAATTTAAATGGAAATCACGAATAAGAAATATATTCAAAATATTTTAATAACAGTAAATAACAAAATTAAATATGACGAATTATTACCCCATACGAGTGGATTAAACATTTGATCGGTATAATATTGATCCATTGACTTCCATTTGGAGCTATCTCAGTGAGCAGTTTTTGCAATTTTTGCTTTCGTAGCACCGCAAAAGTAAAATATTTTACACTACAAAAATACCATTAATAATAAAATATAGTTCATTCATGTAAGTCTATATCACAAGACTGCAAAACCTTAAGTAATTTTTGATTCTTATAAACCTAACTATTATTATCTTTAAACTCATAAGTAATTACTGTTAATTACTCTGTTCTTTTAATTTATTATTATTTTAAATGTCTGAAATAATGTGTGAGCTCTAAACGCCCCCGTAGTTAGACCTGCATAGTCTAAGAAGCCCTACTTCTACATGTTATCCATACTGGCCTGATAGAATGTTATATGCGGTTTGAATAGATATAATTCTATAATACTAAAATATTATAAAATTATATTAAACAATAAAGTTAGAGATAGACAAAATATTTAATTGTGTTATATTTTATAATAATTTTTTTTCCTTAGAAACACACTTCTACTTTTAAAAAAAGTATTGAAGTATTTAATGTTATTTACATTTTAATTAAAACACACTTATACCATTAAATAACTGATGAAGGATATTAATTCTTATATGATGGTATTTTGTTTTATTTGTAATTCGAGAAAGAACAATGTATGATATAAATACCTTAAAAAAGTTTATAAATGATTTGAACTTTTTATATCTACTTTATAGAATGATAACCAATTATTTTATATACTATTTTAAAAGCCTCCTAAACCTTCCCAAGTAGTGCTTATAATAAAAATTAATAATAATAAAAAATAACTAATTATGAAAACCTAATTACTTTATATTTTGAAAGATATTTAAATTTAAATCAAATTATTATTATTAATTTTATTGTTAGGGGATGTGGCACTGTGACCGTCGAGTCTATTGTGCCCCCTTCTGGGTTTTGAGTAGGTTTTTAAGCCCTATTGCGTCAATATACTACTTTTTATTGAAACCACCTTACAGATAAATCAAATTAAAGCGAATCTCAATTTTCTATTCGACGATTGATATCTGTCATCATTTTGAGTAGCTGCAAGTTATGTTCATCATCAAAATCGATAAAGACACAAATATATATAATAGTTCAAGGATTTGATTTAATCATTACATAGTTTTTACTTCTACAAAATTTTACTCTGAGACTTAGTATCTTTACTCTATTACTGATAATGACATGGAGAGAATATGTTAAATAATTATCTGTCTTAATTAGTATGCAATAACTAAAAATTATCTCTAAGTTGAGTATTTCATTAGTTCTGACTTAAAATTCACATAATAATACCAATGTGTACCAATGCAGGATATTTGCTAAACCTGTAAACTTCTATGGGAAAACCATTTAATGTGTAAAAATTGAATTTTTATATACAATAACTTAAGTTTACTTAACATTTTTTATTAAAAATTATTAACAAACTCGATACATGATAATATAAATCACAAAAATATAAAAAATATAGAAATATATTCATATGTTTTTGATAATAAATACTATAACATTATGTTATAATTATTTTGCATTCTGTTAAATGCTTTACACATTTATGTTAAATGCTTAAACGCTTTGCACATTTATGTTAAATGCTTTAACATTTTAGCATTTATTGTAAGTCCCTCTCAGTATAACTGCTTACTTTCTCATAAAACGTTTGTTTTAAGCTTTAGTTTTATTGAGAAAATTAAAATGCGTAAATATTTAAAAATAATGTTATCCAATTTTTTTCTTATATCATAAAAACATTATAGCACTAAAAAAACAAACATTTAACAAATTTTGTTTTTTTTTTAATTATATACTTATATTGAAATTATTTTAAATTTAAAATTACATACAACTACAATAAACTTAATTCAATAATTAACATTTCAAACTGTTAATCTATGAAATAAACTACAAAAAATGCTCGTCAATTTCTATCACTGATTAGAATTATATCTTATTTGGATTGAAAAATATACATTTATAATTTTAAAGAAATTTTGCTTCAATTGGATTTTGGTTTTTGCAAAATAGTAGAAAAATTTAAGAAATAAAATAATCTTACACAAAAAAAAAAAATAAATAAAATTACTAAACTGCACTCAATTAGAAGCAAAGTATTTTAAGAGTGACATGCAACTGCTTGAGCTTCAAGTTTATTGTTATATTTTCTTTAGTACAAAGTTAGTACAAAGGCGGAAGTAATGTGCGAAAATATTCATATTTAACAAAATTATGAGATATTCTAAAGCAACTTTACGAACTAAGTTATTATATATATATATATTGCATTTACAGCTTTTATGTATTAAAATTTATGGAAAAATTTTGTTACGTACGAATATACGAATAGATTTTATATATGGAAAATATATTAGGTCTTACCTGTATCAACAATCACATCGATAAGGTCCATTGATTTGGCGAAAGCATCTTTCAAATTGATATGATGAAAGGAAACAATGCTACCCTCACGTTTGGCACGATCGAGCGCCTCACGCCGTTTCAGCGCCTTTTCGCGTCGCATCTGATTCTTATAAAATTCAGCAAAATTGTTAACGATGATGGGAATAGGCAAAGCGATTACCAGAACACCGCATATGCAACACACAGTACCAATAACCTTTCCCAGTGCAGTAGTGGGATAGATGTCCCCGTAGCCAACAGTTGTCATTGTAATACCCGCCCACCAAAATGTTTCCGGTATTGAAACGAATTTTGTATCCTTTTCATCCTTTTCGGCAAAATATGCCAGCGAAGAAAATATGAGAACGCCCATGGCCAGGAACAGCATTAGTAGACCGAGTTCCTTATATGAATTTCGTAGCGTAAAGCCTAACGACTGCAGGCCCGTTGAGTGACGGGCCAGCTTAAGGATTCGCAGGATGCGCATGATGCGAAAAACTTGCACCACCCGGCGCACATCCTGGAACTGGTCCGTTGCATTTTTATTTGTCTCCAACAGGAATAGGGACACAAAATATGGGAGTATTGCCAATAGATCGATTATATTAAGGCCGCCCTTAAAGAATTTCCATTTATCCGGTGATGCGCTAAACCTAAGTATATATTCTAGAGTAAACCATGATATACAAACGGCCTCAACCATAGCCAATTGAGGATTATCCTGTGGTGTGCCATTGTCAATGTGTTGTAGTTGTGGTAGGGTGTTCAACGTCAGGGCTATGGTAGACAGGACTATAAATAGTATGGATATCACTGCGATAACCTGTGGGGAAGATTTTGCGAAACAAATTGAAAATTTGTCTTTTAATTGTGCTATTTATTGCATGTATTTAACACACATTATCTTAACGATAAGAATTTCCTAATATCAAAATTTTGCCTACATATGCTAATGTAACATTAGTCAAAGGTTGTTTAACACGAAACAAAAAGTTCAATGTTAACTTTTAACACACACCAATGTTAAAGGGATTTTTCAGCACTGCTTGTTAGGCGCTGTAGACTGTTGTTGGTCACTTGTTGCAATTTGGGACTTTATAAAGAGATTTATGAGGTGGGGGCTTATATGGAGGCTTAGGTTGAAGTTGTTACTACTTAACAAAGGCTGGTGTATTATGTGAAGTATATATTATTTTTATTCGAAAGCTTTTCTTAATTATTTTAACTAAATTACTAACTTAAATAGAATAAATAAAATTATATTAAAAATTGTACTTAAAGAAAAATTATAAGTAAGTAAAATTCAATTATAAAAAAGTTATTTTAATTAAATGATTTTTGATTTTATTTTAATTATTTCTATTAAAACTTGTGGCTCCATATACGTGTGTGTATTTGATTACAAATTTGTTTGGAAATGTTAGTATATGTATTAACGAAGTACAATGTCTTGTTATATGTGTAAAGAGGAAGTAATTATAGACAGTCACAGATAGAGATATAGAGCTAGAGACGCTAAGACACTATTGTGAAATTTGCTAAATTTTTTGAAATATTTTTAGCTTAATTTATAAAAAATTATTGTAAAATTAATAAATACAACAACACAACAGAACACATTTACATAAATATACAAAAATGACAAAATTATACAAAATATACATAAACAATACACAAAAGATATTTATAAATATATTAAAAATTAAATAGCTTTTTACAGTATTGTTTTTATAACACTATTTGTACTGTGAAACGAAACAAAATATCATATTCATACTATTTTATATAGCACAAGAAGAGTATGAGCAGTGAGGTTGGTACAACTATTAGAGTTCATTAGTTGATACTACGAGTACATCTATTGAGGGCGAAACAGTGGAGTTGGTTGCAAATCTTGTGTCACTCTAAAAGCCAATGTGGAAAATCAAAGTAAAATTGTGATGTGTTTTTAACAAAGAGACACAAAATTTATTGCTACTTTAATTCTACGATATTTTTGGGAAATGAAATACTATAAAAGAGCTAAACTTTCAAAATGGTTAACGAAACAGCAATCGGGTCTGCAGTCGATTTTTTCAAATAATTCGTAATTAAATTTGCACTAAATTGTGCACTAAAAACTTTCGTACAGTTTAAGATACTTAATTCAATTAAACTTGTATTTTCTTAAAAAATTATTAATACTAAATTCACATAATAAGTTGTCAAGTGTTTAAATTAAGTAACTAACTAAAAATGTTAATGAAAGTATATTAACTAACAAATAAACTTAAGAAATTTTCGAAAGCGTTTCAGCTACAAACTATATTTAAATTTTTTATTAATTGATCTACTGAAGTTATCATAAACTGAATATTACTAAACAACAAAACTAGTAAACTATTAATATAATTAACTAACAAAGGAAATACTATAAATGTAATCAGAACTTTCACTTTTCATTTGAAGACAATTATATAAAGTTATGGTTGAGATACAAAACAGATCTTTGTTTGATTATACATAGTCCAATTTTTAAATAGAATATATTTTAAAATTTCTTCAATACCATATATTTCCCCATTAAAGTCAGGTTTATAATATCTTCCCTGCCTCAAATTATTGCTCATCATACTAAATAATATTTCCTGCATTTCATTACAAACTCGCGTCTAGTTATAATTATTGTTTCTAATAATAATTAAAAAAATTTTAAAAAAAAATTTCCAGAACTATAATTTATCGTCAGTCAAGTGAGATATGTCATTAATTGTATCATTCTTTTGGACATAAGAAGAAAGCGAATATGCTGACGACTAATTACAGATATAAGATATTCAAGTTTGTATCGCAGCAAAATAATTTGATACTTTGACATATTAAAGAACGAAGTATGGTTTCACAACTTCTTACTGTCTAAAAACTGTTGAATGTTCTTTTTGCTTATAAGTGATAGAATACTATTCGAAGTACAATAACAATATAATATCATTATTGATTGCCTAAACAAGTGAAGTATTGTGTCTAGTCTTTAATAAATAGAAATAACAAACAAAAATAAATTTGTAATAATGCGATAAATGTACAAATCCTACGCTAACGGCTAAGTCTGCGCAAACGTTCTATATATATAATAGAGAAGTCTACTAACTAATAAATCAACTTAAGTTCTGTTAACTATAAACGAAATCCGGTCAGTTTCCAATGTACGTCTAGAGTGAGTTCGCTTACATTAAAGAATATTGTAGAGCTGACGGATTAATCGCGGATGTGGTATTAATATTCTCTAAGATAGAAACGATATTAACTATTTATTATATTATTTAAATACCTATTACCAATTGTCACGGCTAGGCTAATGCAATCAATACTTAATTGAAAAAAAATCAAAAGACCTATTTAGGCTGACATTTTACTAAAATCGTGACTTGCATAACCAGTCACTAAATATAAAAATAGTACTTGCACTCTTAGGTTGGGAGTTTGTTGAAGGTTGAAGGAGGATAAAGTAACAGTAGAAGGTTCCCCTATGGAAACATATAGTTTGTTTTCGTACATAAGTGTCGAGCGTTATGTTTTTGCGCTATAAAAGCCGAAAAACAGTTCCACAAATAAAACTATTACGATCTCGTATTAAGCAGTGACACCACAATGGAGCCAGAGGGTCTGAATAAGTCTAGATATATTGCAACATTAACCTTACTTAACCTCAAAATATTGACAGATCGAACAATTCGTAAAGCAAAGACTTTAAACTTGCGACCTGTTGTAAAATAATAAACAAACTATGTCAAGAACTAGCCTTGCAAACATACCCAAATACGACTTTATCTGCTGAATGGCACGCTAATAGTATTTTACAGATGTGAATTATTTGAAATTTTCAGATTGATTGTATTTATTTAATAAGGACTTTTTATTAATAAGTAGGCGGTTGTATTTTATTTCTAATAAAAAATCTCGTAGTTTAAGTAATTACTAGTATGTAACCTTCATGTGTTGCATCTTGTTAAATATCAAACTATCGACTAAAATGGATTGTTATCATTTAGTTAATAGTCATTACTGAGTATTGGGGAAAAATATGATCTTGCAAATGGCTAATTTCGAAACAAGTAAGCCTGAACACAGGTTTACGATAAAAATTTTTAATGGATAACCAACATAAGGACCCTACCTTGACGTATTCCTGATAAAATTCCATGAACGGAGTGTTAGCGTCAAATTGGTCTGGCACACAAGGGGTATTATTTTTAATCCGTGCAAACCGGGCATACCATTATTGTGACGGTATAGTGTTGGTGCGTTTGATTGTTTTAAACACCTTTTTTAAACTACTGAGTACTATGTATATATAAAATAAATACTGCGTATATCCTTCTTTAGTGTTGCTAAACTAAATTGGTTCATGAAGTTATTTAAAGATCATTCCGTTTAGTCTTCTACATATAATATTCCTTAAATCCGTAAAATGTATAATCAAATAGATGCAAATGCTTCTCAAATGAATTCATAAATATATTGGCTTAACCTCGGCTTCAAGTGATCAAAGTTCTAATTACAGATAGCAATAAACATATACACTTATATGCTTTATGCATTTATTGCGATAATACATACATTATCCATATGCATATACATTTATGTGTATTTATATAAAAAAATATTAACTATTCGAATTTTTAAATTGCAATTTCCTAATAACATAATAAAAATTTCTAAGTAATAACTGTACAAATCTTAAAATGAAATAAAAATCCTATAAATCTTACAAATTGTTTGTTTTTAATAAAAATAAATAAAATAGAAACTTTCAATTTTTAAAAATTCTGACACAAATTTGTCATTTCCAATGCCATTTGAATTGTGAATAATTCTGAATAATATTCAATAATCAAATTTTCATCTTTCCAAATGTCAAACTTAATTCTCAGGCGCAACTAATTTCAACTGTGCCGAGCTGATCGGACTTCTAGAGAACCAAACCAATTACAAATCGTATCATGAATTAGTCTTACATTGAGTTGTGGCGTGTAGGATTGTAATGACATTTCAAGAGCAGAGAAACACATTAAACTGAAAGGAAAACCTTTTAAACAATTATCAAAATTGATTTTTGCATGTTTATTTTAATATTTAATATGTTCCCGCCTGTGTCCGCATCTACCATGGAGTCCACTGTACGCAACCACGTAAAAATAATGTATTTGGTTTATTATTGCTTCGGTTATCGGTATTTGGGTCTTTTCAAAATAAGTTTCACAAATGTAATATTTTCTTGTAGTTTAAGTTTGTTGACTTTCATGCAAATATTAAGTCACAGTAGGGGCATTTGGGAGTATAAAGATCTGAAATTTTTTATGAATGAAAACTGAAAATATTTTTTTTTTTTTGTTGATTGTCTTGATTGTCTTATGAGAAATGCTACAAAATCACGTTCATTTATTATTTCAACAATTTACTTAAAATATGGCATATACAGTTATTATTGTCTTTAGCTAAACAAAAGAATATATATTTAAAAAATTATTAATATCTAAAATATTTAATAAATTGTATTTGTCAAACATAAATAAGAAAAATAAAAAAAAAAAATGAATAAAAATTTCTGTATGAAAATTTTTTTTTTTAAATTGTAGATCCAAAATTTTATATTTAAGTGCTTTCAAAGCCTTTAAAGCTTTTTAGTGAAAATAATTAAAAAGAGTATTAACAATTTTAATGGACAATTTAGTTTAGTAATATATCTAAATGTTATTTGTCTTATAAGCATTATTCATATATTATTTTATTTACTTATAGATAGCTGTTGTTCTATAACATTATTAACATTTATCAATTTTTAATTCATTTAAACTTATTTAAATATATCATTCGTATATATGCTTGTGCATGTTAAATTACGTACTCTTGCTCTGTGAGATATTGATTTTCTCATTCCATATACCAAAAAAAGTGATGCTTTGAATTAAAATTGATAATGCTGTAGACTATTAAGTGATATAGTACTGTTGGGCATATCAATGTCTCATAAATAGTAGAGCGTACTACACTGATCTTATGCTTTTTAACTTCGTAGCTTTTAATTAGAAATACATAGTTCAAAATACTTAAGACTCTGGTGACCCCATATAACATATGACTACAATATATAAACTTCAAAATACTTCTAAATACTCAAATTAATTTGAAGTCCTTTGTAATTTGAGAATAAATAAGTTCGAGTACTTAGTGCATT